TAGCCCGAGCGTTTCATCTACTACTAGCATTACTGCTACTACTTCTATCCCGAGCAGCACCACCGCTTCTCTGCAAGGGATGTGCAGCAGCAGCGATCACGATTTGTGGGCTTCTTATGGACAAGCTTACAGTAACTTCATCGCTTACTGTGGTCTCCAGTCGTTCGGTGATGCCAAGGCTAGTACTGCCTGTATTGAGAAGTCCGGGTTGTCCGATTCCTGTTCTAACTGCTTCGGTCAGTCGATTCAGTGTGGTCGTGACGTGTGTATGATGAGCTGCATTTCTGGCCCTGCTACTAAGAAGTGCTTGAACTGTATCGCGAAGACCAAGTGCAACCCTGATCTGTACAAGTGCACAGGTTATACAGTCAATGAGATGCCGCCTAACCCAACTGGTACCAGTCCTTTGCCCACCACTACCATTGCTCCTGTCACTACCACCGTCGCCCCCACTACTGAGTCGACTGTCACTACCACCGTCGCCCCCACTACTGAGTCGACTGTCACTACCACCGTCGCCCCCACTACTGAGTCGACTGTCACTACCACCGTCGCCCCCACTACTGAGTCGACTGTCACTACCACTGTCGCCCCCACTACTGAGTCGACTGTCACTACCACTGTCGCCCCCACTACTGAGTCGACTGTCACTACCACCGTCGCCCCCACTACTGAGTCGACTGTCACTACCACCGTCGCCCCCACTACTGAGTCGACTGTCACTACCACCGTCGCCCCCACTACTGAGTCGACTGTCACTACCACCGTCGCCCCCACTACTGAGTCGACTGTCACTACCACCGTCGCCCCCACTACGGAGTCAATTGCCACTACCACTGTCGCCCCCACTACGGAGTCAATTGCCACTACCACCGTCGCCCCCACTACTGAGTCGACTGCCACTACCAGTGTCGCTCCCACTACTGAGTCGACTGTCACTACCACTGTCGCTCCCACTACTGTCGGCCCGGTCGAAACCTCGACTACTGCTGCTCCTGCGCCAAAGCACAGCTGCGTTGAGGCCGACAAGATCTGTGCGCAGTCCTATGCGGGTTCGTACTGCAAGTATTGGATGGATGAGCCTACTTGTTTCGGTAGCGATATCGCTTGCTCTTGTTCTGACGACACCGTTAGTACTACCACACACTCCATTGCTCAATGTGATGCTGAGTGTGCTGCTGGATTCCCGGGATCTTATTGCAAGTACTGGGAGGAGCCTTCGGTCTGCTTCGGTTCAAACAAGCCTTGCTCTTGCTAAGGGTTTTACATTCGTCCGATATGAGCGTGTTGCACAATTTTCCTAAGTTGGATTTTC